GTAAGCTTAGCTACCTCCCTCGCAAGTAGTAAGGCTTCTGACATCACATCTGATCCGAAAGCGAGTTCAACACATTTCAGATTAGGGTGGTTATTAAAAGACACTGCCTACGTCGAAGCACTAGCAACAGTACCAGGGATTAGCTACTGGAGATTTCTGACATCTTCGCGTATCAATAATGAGGAATAGGGAGAGATTAGTGCCGCCTGTTTCTTACAGGCTCCATGCAAAAAGAAAAAAAAAAAACGAAAAAGAAAAAAAATAAACGAAAAAGAAAAAAAAATCAAAAACGCCACGTATTAACAAATGCCTCTCGCGTGCAAGTATTTTTCAAGGGCAACTTATCTGTTTCTTCGACATAGTCACTCCTCACTTAACGACTCACCTGTTTAACTACCCCATACTTACGACTAGTTATGAAATCTTGTAAAATAAAAATCAACGTTTACAACAAATGTATTCTCACACGCAGGAATAAAAGATTATATCAAAAAATTAACCTAAAAACATAGAAATAGTAACATTTGCTATATATATATATATATATATATATATATATATATATGAAGAAATATAGTCTTAAGGTGTGCTATATTTATGGGATAAAGTGCTCAATATCAGAGATAGAGCGTGTGTAAATATAAAAGTGAACATCAAGTCACCACTTAGAAGCGACAGTGTGTTTCATGCTAGACACAGTCGTCAGGCCGCCTAAGTGTTGCCGTCAATGTTCACTTATATATATATATATATATATATATATATATATATATATATATATATATATGAGGCTCAGACACTAATAATATTGCATGGTTATAATTTATTACATTGGAATCGTAATCAAGATCAAATTCTTATAGGTCTGATGAATTGATCGTGATTACGATTCCAATGTAATAATAACCATGGAATATTTGTGCTTGAGCCTTTTATATATTATTCTTACTCTGTCCTGGACATTGAGTTCTACCTGGATTCTATCATCTTGGGAATATATATATATATATATATATATATATATATATATATATATATATAATTTTGATTTTCTATGCGTGCTCTTATTAATAATGATAGAGTTTGTTATTTTTAATTTTTTGTAGTAGATAATTAATTTTCTTATTCTGGTTGAATGGTGCTGTGTATTTCTTTATTTTCATTTGTATGTTTCGTATTGATATGAAATAACCTAATCTGGTCGTCAATGAAGTAGTTAGAAAAACCATTGTTAACTAGCGTCTGTTTCACATTATTGACTTCTTTAAGGAAAAGGGGCACGAGACGATTAAATCTTGTGTGCTCCTTTGATAAAAAAAATATTTATAACTACCATTTTATATCTAAGTGGGCATTCACTCTTAAATTTAAGGTGGCAAGGGTTCTTGATCAAACCAAACAAATAAATTTTTATTTCCTCCAAAATCGATTAACCTGTGTAGTTCTTGAATATAATGTATTTAACATAATCAATTTTTTATTATTATTTTGGTCGATATCAAGAGGACATAAATAATAATAATAATAATAATAATAATAATAATAATAATAATAATAATAATAATATACATAATAATGTGGATCCAAAATGCAGGTTCTGTGACAAATACCAAGAAACAATAGACCATCTAATCTCAGGATGTTCTATACTTGCCCCAAATGAATATAAAAATCGTCACGATAGAGTGGGGCAATACTTACACTGGACAATGTGCAAACACTTTGGAAAATGTGTAAGCAAACACTGGTATGAACATCGGCCAGCGCCGGTTACAGAAATAGAAGATGTCACCATTCTATGGGATTATACCATCCACACAGACAGAAAAAATTGAAGCAAATAGGCCGGACATTATTGTCAAAAACCAGAAAGAAAAAACTTGCCTACTAATTGATATGGCTTGTCCAGCGGATTGTAACATAGCAACCAAGGAATTTGAAAAAACTATCAAAATACAAAAGACCTGGAAATTGAAATAGAAAAAATGTGGAAATTGAAAACAAGAATAATACCAGTGGTAATAGGTGCACTTGGAATTATAAAAAAATGGAACAAAACAACACATTGAAAGAATCCTGGAAACCCCAGCTTAAGAGACATACAGAAAATTGTCTTATTAAGTACAGCACACACACTAAGGAGAACTTTGTCTATGTAACGCTAGCAACTTCATCGGAGATAAAAAAAAAAAAAAAAATTAACATGAAATGTGGCCATAACAACACACCACGACCTGCCTTAGGTCTTTCCGCAGACTTGGTAGGTAGTGTGTCCATAGCAGAAATCGAATGATGATGATGATAATAATAATAATAATAATAATAATAATAAGAAGAAGAAGAAGAAGAAGAAGAAGAAGAACAACAACAACAACAGCAGCAGCAACAACTGTCTGAATTTCTGGGATGAGGAGTTATCATTATTTACCCCATCTACATACAGACTATTATCCTCATCTTTGTTGTCGTTCTATCAAAGTTTCGGTCGTCTACCCTCGTAGATGAAATGAAGGCTTCAGTTCAGAATGTCCTGTAGTTTACCCAGATTGTTAAACATCTGATGAAGACCGCAGAAGACAACGCTCAAAACAGTGTGATAGCAGCAATAAAGATGAGAACAACAGTCCGAATATAAATAGTGCAAATAATAATAGTTTATTATTTATTATTACTGTGATAATTATTATTCTTAAATTTACTTAGATGATAAAGGAATTGAAATCCCTGAAAATTATGTAAGAATGGTCTATGTGAAAACCAGTTGGATACCCATATTTCAGTAGACGCTTTGTTTTTGTTTTTTGTTTTTTTAAATATATTTTAAACAGAATATTCGAGAAATCTCATTAAAGCAAAAAAATAAAAAATAAAGCAGGATTCATAACTACATCCTCTTTGGCAGGAGAAGCCATCGTGAGATCCGATACAAAATAAAGAATTTTCTTAGACTTAAAATTTGTTTCCAAATTAACCTTTTTTGACATGCTAAATAAAGACTTTCAATAATCTTTTTCAAATCATAACTGTTTTTGTTTTTTGTTTTTATTTTGTTTTTTGTTTGTTTTTTTTTTTTTGTTTTTTTTTGTTTTTTTGGATTTTTTTTTTTAGGAAACTAGTTTAAAGAATCAGATTAGGTTCAAAATCGTAGCGTTCGAATTTCATTCCGGTGATCAGTGAAAGTTTTTATTGCACAACCTTATAAAATTTTTAATTAAAATATATGAAGTTAATTGGTTTTTAAATTAAAAGAGATAATAAATTCCATAACCAAACAACTATATAACTTCAATCTCATCCAGTCAACCGAAATGCAGAATGTTGCATTAAAATAATTCCAGCAAAATTCTTTCGCCTTGCTCCCGGAAAATATTCTTTTCTCAATGCTGAAGTCAGATAAAATGTAGGCGAGGAAAAAAAACTATAAATAAATTCTTCATAATTAATTAGTTATATTAACTTACAAGACTAATTTTCAAATTTCATTCAAATTTCATTAGTAAAATATAAGGAAGTCTGGATAAAATTTCCAATAAAACTAATTTTTTTTCTGTTTCAGAAGTAGAGAGTGACGAAAGAATAGAGTAAGAATATAATATAAAAGGCTCAAGCACAAATATTGCATGGTTATTATTACATTGGAATCGTAATCACGATCCAATTAATCAGACCTACATGAACTGGATCTTGATTACGATTCCAATGTAATAAATTATAACCATGAATTTTAGTGTCTGAGCCTTTATATATATATATATATATATATATATATATATATATATATATAATATATAAATGAACATTGAAGGCAACACTTAGAGGCGACGGTGTGTTTCCTGCTCAACGCAATCGTCAGGTCGTCTAGCATGAAGTGACACACTGATCAAATTTGATTAACATATCACAGAATAGAATTTTCTATCTCCAGCAGCAGTTTCCTGGTCTTCAATATTAACGACAAGTATATTTAGGTTACATTTTAACAACATCCACGTTTTTTGGGACTTATGAACAGATCAATTATCTTGTACTAACTCAGCATCTAGGAAGTCTTTTAGGGAGTTTGTCATTTCCCATACTTGTCAGATGACCTAGTGTCTCTATTCTGCTTTTGTTTCTGCGGTGATGGAATTTTCTGTCTGGTCTACAAGAATTCCAATTGATGTCCAATATTCGTCTAAGGCACTACTGGTGAAAACGCTCTAAGACATTAAATATATTATAGATGCACACACACACACACACACACACACACACACACACACACATACACACACACACAGAGATGTCAACTCAGGATTTGAGGTTGTTTGCAGAAAATTCATGAAGCACCCATTTTCCAAGTTTAGGAACTTTTCCAAGTTGTTGAAGATGACGATGAACAGTTGTATGCTTTGAACTGAGAACCACTGCCAATTCCTCAACTGATAAAGCAGGATTTTCTTCAAGGGTTGCTTCAAGAAGCTTTTCATCAAACTCAACTGGACGTCCGGTTCGATCTTCATCTTCAAGGGTGAAATCTCCACCTCTGAATTTTGCAAACCATCTTCTGCAAGTTCTTTCATTCACACATTCCTCTCCATAAACTGAGTGAATGTTTCTAGCCGCTTCGGCTGCTGAGTTTCCTTTCTTGAACTCATAAAGCATTATGTGCCTCAAATGATTCTTGGGTACTTCCATATTAGCAGGGTTTTAATCAAACAAAATTTAATTTTATTGTTCTCTGAAATAAAATTTGATCAGTTTAAATGCATCTAAACATAAAAATAATATTCAGCTCCATTAGACATTATAAAATACTCTTTAAATTTCGTTCATTTTAACAAAAAGTTAAAATTCGGACAGAACTTATGGGATGATCTGATATATATGTTCTATATATATTATATATTTGTGGCACTTATTGTAAAGTGCTCAATATCAGATAGAGCTAACATATTCCGTTTTGTATGGATATGAGTTTGTAAACCCAGAGTTACAAATATATATATATAATTATTTAA